TTTGTCCTCTGTCCTCTGAATAATTTCTGTAGGAGAGCATGTCAACAAGCTAGTCATTATATCAATTGTTAATCTTGTCATGTTCAGCAGATAAATATGCAAGCAAAACTTTCTAAAAATTCCATTTAAAGACTCAGTAAGTAATATTTGGACATAACTTTAAAATCCTAAGTGTTTGAAATTATTAAAATAGGTGGTGAAGTAGGTATGCTTTACTCTTTGAATTTGTTTCTGACAGACAATTTATTGGTAAACTGCCTTTCGTCTGAATTTTATGGCTGCCTGCATGGGTGGAATTCAGTTATGCTGTTTATTTTATAGATCAACTAGTGGCCCGGTGCACAAAATCCGTGCACATTGAAAGGGAATTAATTAGAGGAACGTAATTTGGACTCACTATCTAATATCAATAATATGTGAGCATGAGGCAGTGCACGTTTCTGAAATTCAGTGACATGAATTTTAGCTATTACTTTGCCAAATAAATGGAATTTACAGATCTCATTTAAAAGAGCATTCAGCTTAATATTAAAAATTCTGGCTACCAAGTCAGGTCTGTTTTCAGCTTTTTGCCAGCATTGTAAATTGTTTGCAATATCTGCCCATTTGGGGTTGCATGTCATGGTTATGAATAAATCGGGATTGCCGTACTTGTTACAATTGCCATAGCATCCTGATATCGCTGCTTCATATTTCTGGGACTACCCTCAAAAGATGATGGAAGTATTATCATTTTACCAATCAGCACATTGTCATTTTTAGATCTAAATTTGAGATAATTCATCAAACCACTCTGTTTTTCAACTCTCAACTTAGATAGGTTTGCTTTGATGAAATTTATCGATTGGCCTCCATTTTTAAATATGAATCCACGATAAACTGTTGAGATAATTTTTCTGCATTTAAAATAAGATTGAACGTGTCCTGCACAGAGAGATTAAATCCATAATACTGTATTTGTGTGACTCGTGTCCTTACATTTTGTCTAGTATATTGTCGATTACACTGTTGTCTCTGAGTTTTAATGCAATATCTGTTCCCCAGCCTTTTTCACCATGTGAAAAAAGAATAGGATATGTCATTGCATCTAATGTAGGAAACAGGATATTGATTTCATTTTAGTGGCATTTGGATTATTGGGATCTGGTTTACAATGAATGAGCAATTCCCTTTCAAAAGGAGGTTTTCCATTTTGAATATGACAGCATATTCAAATCTCGTTTCTGAATATGACAGCAACCTCGGTTACACAGGGAGAATTATATCTACCGGGGTCACTGTTACGATCGTATTTAATTGCCATTGTTACTTCTGTAGGAGCAATACCTTTTGCTGCTGCTTCAGATTGGGCTTCCTTTTCTACCTCATGTAGCATCTTGTACGATTTTGTTAATTCATTTATTTCATGCATGAGGTTGTTGATCATGAGTCTTTCTGAGTAGCCCTGGTTTTCTGGCATTGCTAATCTTTTACTTGTAGCTTTGGCTGTATCCAAAATATAGAGTTGAGCAAACTTCCGAGAAACACCATCCAAAGGATGTAAAGTTCCAGTACGGTGATAAACTTGTCCGTGTATTCTAAAACAGTGGCCCATATCCTGATGGCAATGCAGTATTTGCACCCATGGAAACAAAAGCAAAAGAACTATTTATGGAACGAATATTTTCCATGAAATTTTTAGTGTCAGAATCTTCGTTTGTCATTAATCTTTTTAAATATGCCGGGTAATCTGGAAAATGTATATCATTTGGACAGACTTTCCCTTTGCTACAACATCGAGTAAATTTCCCATCGGATGGTTTTTCATCAGAGAAATTTAGTGATAGGCAAAATTCACATCGAACAGTCATTCCACCACACTATGTTCGAGAATTGCATCCTCATGTACTCCATTTTCGCTGAGAAGGCAGTTCCTACCAGTATTGGTAGTACTTGTTGATGACTGTTCTCTTGACATATTCTGTCGTCGCCACCGCCTTCTTTCAACTTCAAAG